TTCTCCTCTTGGGATCTTGGGCATGCACGCACATGCGCCCGGCGTGTTTAAGCCACCAGGTCCGGGATTTGAACCATGGTCGACTACGTGGGAGTCCAGCAACATAGTCATTACGCTAACTGCTGGTCCCCTCAACGCTCCTAAAATTTATGTCAAAGACCAACTCCTTCCTTTCTCCCAACTCCTCATTTATTCAAAACAGTTTTTATTCATTTCACTGTCACCCAATCCTAGACTTGCCTAGATTTGGCAAATTATAGTCAAGATAACCCACTCTTTAACGTCACTTTAATGGAGTGGGTCCTGTCTCTCCCAAACCAGGGAAAAGAGTGTAAGCACAGCGGCTTCTAGGTACTAACTCAAGATAGTACCATTCTATTTCTCCAGAAATTCTTACAGATGCCATGTATAAAATTTCTGTTTTATAAACTCTTCAACTGCACTGGGAGAAGAGCACAGCACACCTTCTATACTTGTCCCAAATGGAGATTTCTCTCTGGCTATCCATGATCCAAACATTACTAGTAAGTATTTTACCATTCCAAGTGTGCTTCTCACCTCTAAGACACTCTGAGAGTCTGACCCTTACCAACACCTACAGCTTAATTAACCTCTCATAGAAGGAATCACAATTTCCCAAAGCCCCAAACTGCCTTGGTTTAGGCCACTGACATTTTACTGCTCGCATCTAGTCTCACTCACTTATGGCTCATGTGCTCTTCTCACTTGTCTGTAAGGTCTTAAGTAACTCTCAGGGTCCAGCAGACGGCATAATGATTACGTAGTTGGACTTACTTGTAGTTGACCGTGGTTCGAGTCCTAGGCCCAGTGGCTTAAAATAAGCCAAGCATGTGTGCATGCATACCCAAGATCCCGAGAGAATAGAGAAGGAATTGCTGCATGGCCATCCCCGCTGCGAGGATGATTTTTCACTGTCTCTCTGGCAAGTGCAGGCGTCCTATAGCAAAAATCTCTCTGGAAAAAAAAGAATGTTTCACCACTGCCCTAGTATGATTGCTACGCCTAGACTCCATCACTCTATAGGCAAAAGTGTGTTTTGTTTATCCTAGTAGTTCCAATATGAACACAGTGCCTTCCAAAAAAGAAAATACCCAATTAATGTTTGGTTGCTAAAAGAATCAGTGAGGCAAGGGCTTTAATTTATTAATATTTATTAAGATGTATTTTACTTTCTTCAATAAGCCAAGCAAATTGAGGTACATATCATTTTCGTTTTACAGAATAGACCGAAAAGGGTTAAATTAATCCAAAAGTTAACCCTCAAACATTGCTCTCTCAGTATTTTCTCTAACCCCAATAAACAAGTGTGTGACCAATGTCATTCATAAACTTAGATTCTAAATATAAAGTAAACATTTGAAAAATGGCAAAAAGGGAACGGAGAAACTACCATGTCACTCATATAAGAACAAAAAGTTGTGCACTATGTTTTTTCCAGCCTTACCCTGACCCTACCCTCTTTAGAACCTTGACTGCTTCCTTCAAACACAGAGTGAAGAGCCTGTCTCAACCTTCATTTGAGTCAGGAGAAGCTTCTGGACAATGCTGTGCAATATACTGGGCAGCAGTATTAACCATGGGACCAATTTTAGACTGAGCTCTCTTCTCGTCATCTCTCAAAGCTTGCTCATACCACCCTGAGAACAAAATGAAGTCGTCCCCTTTGACTTTGGCCATATATTTCAGAACATTCACCTTACTTGTTTCGGCATATGCCCTTGGGCCCCATAGGAATTCATAGCGTGGAGGATCACTGTTGGGCATCTGCCGGTACTCTAGGTAATTTTCCTGCACCCAATCTCTGGTGAACTCGCTGGGATCTCCATAGATGTAGTGCTCTCTCCCAGGATACATTCCCATCATATTCAGAAAACCCCAGATGTCTTCCTCAGAGGCATGGTTACCCTCTATGAATATCAGACCCAGGATCATTACCAGGAGGCCATTTTTAGGCATACTCTGGTAGTCACCAACCATGTCATCGTAGGTGACATCTAGTGAGTTGACAAGGACATAAGAATGAGTGGTGGGGTCCATTTCATTCACATCAATGCCAAAGATCACATCTAAACATCTACAAGCTCTTGTGAAAATCACAGGGAAATGGTTATTATACGTTTTGATGACAACTTCCAGCATTTCTGCCTTTGTAATGGGCTCCTTCAATCGATACTTAAAGATCAGGAAATGTACCAATTCAGTCACCTTTTCACTTAGTGGGTCTACAGGTAAGAACTGAGTGCCCAGTAAAGACAGTGAACTGCTTGAACTCTCATCTTCTCGGCTGCTAGACTTTTTGTCTGCAATACTCCAAGAGGAGGAGCAGCAGAAGCTCTGAGAACTTTGGAGAGGGCTCTGAGGTGAAGTCTGGGGGGAACTCCGGGGAGAATTCTGGGGAGAGCTCTGGAGAGAATTCCGAGGAGCATTCTGAGGAGACTTCTGGGGAGAATTCTCGGGGGAACCCTGGGGAGACTTCTGGGGAGAATTCTGTATCCCAGGATCAGGCACCTCTTCCTCTTCTGGGGTGTCAGGAATCACAGGAGAAGAGGCAGAGGAGGTGGAAGGGAAGGAGAAGTGGAAAGAAGAATTGGAAGAGCTATCCTCATCCTCAGTTGTGGGAATCTCTGCATCCATCAATTCCTGCTCTTCAGTTAAGGACACAAAGCCATCGTCAAAGGCGAGGCACAGACGTTTTGACGCATGAGGCATGATGACTCTGGTCACAGGCAGCAGGTAGAGTGTGAGCAGGAGTGTAGGCAATGGGATACCACGGGCCTGGGGGAAAGAAGGACAGTGTGAGCAGCCCCAGCTGAGAAGCTCACCTATGGTGGCCCTGACAAGGGCTGACTTACAGGTCTTCTCTTCAGGTGGTGTCCTTGGGCCTCACAGATAACCTGTCCTCCTGAACTTGTCCCCTCAGAACCTGTTAGGAGGACATGAGAAAGAGTGAAGTTGCTGGCACAGCCTGAGGCACCAGGTCTGACATTAGAGTGAGTGGGGTCTGATGCTAATAGGTTGCCTCTGCTCTGAGGGGAGGTGCCCTTGATCACAGGGTATGCACCTCATCTTGACTCTAGGCACTGCCTGGGCCTCTTCTAAGCAAACCTAGGATGTGTATCTCACACCAGCATCTTCACCTACTACTCTGCAGAGCCCCTGTAAGAATTGAGGGGTTCTTGAGGTTGCATAGCCTGGGGTCTGCAAGGCTGAGAGATGGGGCAAGATTCTGTGAGATCTTCAGAGTTCTGGGGTGGATGGTCCCCTCTGAACTTACATTCCTGAAACTAAGATTAGGAAGAAGGGAGTACCACTGCTGAGCACACCAGCCCATAGCCTCCCCTAAGGTGACACAATAGCTGGCTGAACTCTGTAGGGATACCATCTCATCTGGGAGAGAGATATCCTCATTCTTCACATTAATGCCTGGCAAAGCCTGCAACTCCTCCTCCTGCTATCTTGGGCCCATCTCTCTCAAACAAGATCTCACTTTCATGAGTCCACCAAGATAGGAGTGAGGGTATACTATATCTGGCCAATATGCTCCAGGGTCTCCCAAGAGCTGGATGAACAACATAGGGCTGGGTGAGCCTTCAGTACTTAGGAGGGGAGTTTGCTCTCATTCCTCACTCAAGGTCCTTACCTTAATGCTAGCAGAGTCTGGAACTTCTCCTGATGACTTGATGTAGCTCTCCCTGGACTGTCAGCACCTCAGACCAAGGTCCTTACTTCCCTGAGAACCTGGAAAAAAGTGAGGAGACACAATATATGACCATCCCTGCCTGAGCCTTCCAGGACTGACAGCAAGGGCTAGGCCTCATCTCTTCTGCTGTGGAAGATTATCTTAATCCTCCCCCACACTATTCAGTTTTAGTCCTTGCAGGACCTGGGCCACACCTTGTCACAACACTGACACTGTCCCATTAGATCAGGGCCTTGCCACCTCTCCAAGACACTGCCCTTCCCTTGCAGAAAGAGAAGATACACAACATCTTGCCTACCCTAGCTAAGTCTTCCCATAGCTGAGACCAAGGAACAGCCATACTCAGGGCTCCCTTCTTTCTGTGCTGGGAGGTACTTATTCCCCACCAGGTCCTTTACCTTGACACTAGGTGGAGCCCGGTATTTATTCCTCCCTCTGAACCTCTGACTCTTCAGAGTCAAGGCGTTCACCTTCCTGAAACTCTCAAGATAGAAATGAAGAAATGCCATATGTAGCAACTTTTGCCCACGGGTGTGTCCCATCTATTTGGCTGTGGGGCCATCCTCATTCCTCTCTCATAACGTTCATCTTTGTTCCTTGCAGGGCCTGAGCCACTCCCTGTTGACTTGACACTCTCCTTAGGATCATGTTCTCACCTCACTGACACAGCTCCTTACCACTGGAGAAAGTGAGGGCATACCACATATGGCCAACCCTTCCTGGGTCCTCCCAGGGCTGAGAACAGAGACACTTAGACTCTGTGGGATCTCTCTTCCTACAATAGGAGGTAACTTTTTTCTTCACCAAGTCTTTACCTTGACTCCTGGTACAACTTGAGATGCCTCCTTTGTTTGACCTGTGTGGCTTCTTCAGCTGACCTGCCTTTGTGCTCAGATCAAGGCCCTCACCTCACTAAGACCCTCAAGATAAAAGTGAAGAGGAACCATATCTATCCATCTCTGGCCAAAGTCTCCCAGGGCTGCCAACAGATGCTATATCTCTTCTGTTCTGGTATAGGATGTACCTTCTGTTCTCCCTCAGATTATTCCTCTTTACTACTGGCAAGACCTAGTCTCATCTCTTCTAGTCATCTGACATCCTCTCTCAGACCAAGGCCTCACCGCCTGGAGTTACTCCTGTTACTCCATGGAGGGAGTGGGAGCACATCACATCCCCAGACCCTCCTAGAGTTGACAAGGGAGGATGGAGTTTTTGTGAATCTCTTCTACCTGGGATGTGGTGAGGAGTTAGGGGGTTAGGGGGAGTACCACCAGTCCTCCCACAATGGCTTTACCTTACCTTGAGTCTTTACAGATCTTGAGGTTCCTCTCTCCTGATGTCACACTCTCAGACCAAGGTTTTCACCTCCTAAAACACTCCAAACAGTAAAAAATCAAATCAACTCTGTCCAGAGTCTGTTAGGGGACAGAGACACTCAGTCCTATGTCAAAATATTCACCTTTACTTGTACCCCGTCTCATCCTATGTTGACCTGAAGTCTCCTTCTACAACTAAAATCTCACTATCCAGAAACATCCCAGTCCTTTGGCTCCTGGTATGGCTTGTGGCAGAAGTGATAACTTGTTCTATTTGGTCACTCTAGCCTGGGATGCTCCCAGGGTTGAGAAGGAGACAGCCAGACATTGTAGGGTCTCCCTTTTCTGGGTGAGAGAGGAGAGGAGTGGACCTTCAGTCCTCACCAAGGGTCCTTATCTTAACTGCTGCCAGAATCTGGAATCCTCCTCCTTCTCCCCTAATGTGATACCCTCTCAGACCAAAGCCCTCACCTCAAGACACCTCCTCCCCCAGACAAAGATAAGGAAGCAGCACATCTGACCAACTTGTCTGTAATCTTTTGGGGTTAACATCAGGGGCCAGTTGTGGTTGGGTCCCACTCTCTCTAGGATTCAGTTATACTCAATGTGGGCCAGGGATGCATCTATCTAGTGGAATATACCTCTAACCCTCCCTCAGAACACTGTCCTTGATGTCTGGTTGGGTCTGGAACCACTTTTTTTTTTTCTGTTAACCTGAGTATACACTCCTCAGAAAAAGCCTCACTTCCCTCAGACTACCAAACTAGAAGTCAGGAAACACTGCAGTTGGCAACCCTCTATCTTTCCAGGGTGGCAGCAGGGGGCAGGTTTCTGGGAGAACCCTCTATATAAAGTAAGTTCCTTAAATCCATTGAAAACCTTCATCAAGACATTTGGCAGGGCATGGAACTTCTCTACCAAACTGAGGTTACACCCGTTAGACCAAGGTTTTCACCTCCCTGAGACACTACAGATAAAAGTGAAGGGATGCTACTTCTAGTCACCATGCCTCTGCTTCACCATGCCTCTGCTCCTCCTATGTTGAAAGGGCAAAGAAAGGCTGGGTGTGAATTATTCTGATGCAAGGGATACTCTCAGTCCTTAATTTGACCCCTAATAGTGACTGAAACACCATCTTCCAAGCTGTTGCCTCTCAAACTAAGGTCCTCATCTCCCTGGTGCCCCATACAAAAGTGAAAAGAAGTCACATCTTGTACCTTACATCTACCTGAGATCTCCCAGGGCCAGCAGCAGGAGCTGGATGCCACCTGTTCCGCAACCAGAGGTAATCCCTGCATCCCTAAAGATACTCATATTGCCCCCTCAGACCAAGGCCTCACTTCCATCAGACAAACTTCACCAGTTTCTGGTGGAAGTGACTGTGGACCACATCTGGTCATCTTGCCCCAGTCCTCCTACAGTTAGGGGATGGAGAAGTTGGTGAGGTTTTGAAGGGACTCCCTCTTGTGGTAGAAGGTCTCATTAGCTATCCTCAAAGTATTCATGTTTACTGCTGACAGGATCTAAACTGCCTTCCTTTTGCTGACCTGAGGATGCTTCCCTCAGCAAAACATCCCTAAGTTCCTCATATACCAGGAAAGAATGTCAGAGAGATGAAGGGGAGCCTTGTGCTTCACCGCTTTCCCAGAGCTTCTTAGGGCTACCATTAATATGTGGTTTCTATGAGAACAAACACGGCCCCTGCTGCCACCCACCACTATCCAGACTGGGAGGTGTCCACACTCCCCTCAGAGGCTTCTCTCCTTGAATCTTGACAAAGTCTAAGATTCCTCAATCTGCTAACCTGAGTAGCACCCCCTCAGTCTCCAAATATGGACATGGACACTTGGGTACAGTGAATCTGAGAATCCTGTTGAGGTTTCACAAAGGTTAATATGGGAAAGGCAGAGCTGAGTTCTCCTACATCTGCAGTAATAAGTTCTTTCACTGACCCCGAGAATCTTCATATTAAAGACAGAAGAGTGTCTGACTCCTCCCTATTCTGACCCAAGTCCATCCCCATCTGACCAAGCCTAAAGACCAACAGACTTTCAAGATGAAAGTCAGAAAAACAGCATATTCTGAAACCCTGCCTAGAGTTTCTCAAGGCTGACAGCAATTACAGGGAAAGATACAGGACACCTTTATTTCTGAAGGTGTATCTCCTCCTTTAAGGCTGACAGCAAGCGCAGGCAAAGACTGGAGGCACCTATACTTCTGGCAGGATATCTCCTCCTTCCAGGTCATCTCCAGGCCTAGGATGCCTCTCTCTGCTGACCTGAGTCAAGTCACCTCTAAAAGAACCTTGCCTCCTTCAGATTACCAAGACGAAAGTCAGGAGAGAGAACATCCTGGACTCTGCCTGACCATGCCCAGAGATACAGGTCAGAGAAGGGCAAGGCTAGGTCCTCTTATCCGTAGCGGGAGGTACCCTTGTCCCTCCCTCAGCGTGTTCTCCTTCATAATTGGTCAGTACTAGGATTCCTCCCCCAGCTGAACTTAAGCCACACCCCTCAGAATCTAAAGCTGAATCTCGTAAAAGAGCACATACAGTACCCTGCCTGGGGTCACAAGTAGTGACCACAAGGACTAGGGAGGTATGGAGTGCCCTCTATGCATGGGGAAAGGGCCTTTTAAGACATCCCCGAAATCTGGCTCCTCACTTTGATGCCTGTTGGAATCTGAGGGTCCTCGCTTGAGTTAGGGCCCCACTCAGAAAAAGCATCAGCTCCCTTGAACTTCCTAGATCAGTCACAAGAAAAACACATTGAGGCATTTTGCCTGGAGTCTTTCTGGGCTTGGTGGTAAAGAGAGGGGAGAAGATAAAAAAAGGTACTGGCAGGAAGGTTCTCCTATCTTTGTGGTTGTAGCTACCTTCATATTTTCTATGAGTCCTCATAATTTTCCAGTCCTGAGACCACTCCTTCTGCTGATCTGAGTTGGGGACCCCTGAAACAAAGCTTCAGTTCTGCCCAGCTTCCAAGATGGAAGTCCCAAAACCACATACGGGTATTTGCATGGAACCGCACGGAACCTTCCAGAACTTAAAGGGGGAGGGGTGGTACTCGACAGGAAGGTGAGGTGAGGCGAGGTGGGGCGGGGCGGGGCAGGCCGGGTGGAGCAGGGCAGGGTGGGGTGGGA